GTCAGCCTTTTGAGCCTCATGAACCCCGTGATATATTTGTTGAGTACGACATGTACTTACTCTTGCTTTACTTTTCAAATATTTGGATAAAAATCCCGGATGGGTACTAGATTGCTAGAGTTTGAAAGAATTAGGCTTGTGATCAATCAGTCAGTTGTCCCTATGGAATTAGAGTCTTTACCCGAAGTTCGGAGTTTTCTTTTCGTTGTTTGCTATCTAATGTTATATTCTTTACACTAAGTACATTATATATTGAGCATTGTCTATTGATATTACCCTTATTTATAGCTATATGTGAGATTTGACTTCCTAGGCTCACATATGGTGTATATCTGGTTTTGTTCTTAAAACCAGGTGCTACAGCCATGGTGATGATCAAGTGCTCGGACTTGAAAAGAAGAAAGAGAAAAATAAAATGAGCTCACAGCAAAGGTATATTTGATAAGGCTATTTTGTTTTGGTAATCAAGACACTTAGTGAGTGTGATCACATTTAGGATTGATAGCCATACTATTAAGAGGGGTGAAACTCATGCCGAAATACAGTTATCAAAGTGCCACTAGATGTTCTAACTCATTGCATATGCATTTAGATTCTAGTGAGTGCTAAAACCCTTGAAAATGCTTTGTGAAAATGCTAACACATGTGCACATTGGTGATACACTTGGTGGTTAGCACTTGGAAGCAAGGATGGTTAAGTTTGAGTTAAAAAGAAGGATTTCAGGCGTGTCCAGACGCTACAACATGGAGAGGACGCTAGTGCAACATGCGTCCGACGCTAATGAAACAATGATCGGACGCTAATGCAACATGCGACCGGACGTGCCTGTGCAACTGTTCACAGACAGGCAACACACGCGGTTGAATGACCTGACGCTGGGTGAGTCCGATCAGTCGTGACCGGACGCGTCCGATTGCCAAAATACCTCTCTGGAACCTCTGTGGATCACACCGGACGCTGATGCAATAATGAACGGACACTACTGCAACGAGAGGACCATTGAGCGCCAACGATCGAATTCAAATAGTCTGCGACCAGACGCTACTGCAACATGCATCGGATGCTACTGCAACTTCGATCGGGCGCTACTGCAACTTGCATCGCAGGCTATTGCAATAATGCACCGGACGCGTCTGGTCATCCCGACCAGCGAGTCTGGTCATTGCGTGGGGACCCCCTCTTGTGCCAAACGGCTCTATTTCATTTGGGGGGCTATAAATAGTGGTTGGCCAGCTCAGGCTCACTCTCTTGGCCATTTATACTAAGAATACATTCTAGTGAGCATAGCCAACACTCTCTAACTCACCTTGCTTGATTGGATCATCATCTAGTGAGATTTGAGAGCATCCAAGTGCATTGCTTTGAGTGATTACATCTAGAGGCACTTGGTGATTGTGTTTCACTGCGGATTTCTCTTGTTACTCTTAGTGGTTGCCGCCACCTTGACGGCTTGGTGCAGCGAGGATCGTCGAGCGAGGGAAGGTGATTCTCCGACTCCGATCGTGGTGATTGTGAGGGGTTCTTGAACTTTCCCTGGCGGAAAGCCAAAAGGTACTCTAGTGGATCCCCATCTTGTGTTGGTTGTGTGGCACCCGGTTGCATGTTAGGCGTGTGATGCCTATTAGCTCGTGAACCTCCAAGTGGGTGTATCGCTACAATGAGGACGTGGCTTGCCATAAGCAAGTGAACCTCGGGGATAAATCATTGTGCCATCATTGTCTCTGGGTTTCATATTGTGATTGATTGATTATCTCTTGCCACGGTGGTATAACTCACTACCTCTCTTGTTTTTACCTTCCTAGTGTAGCTAAGCTCTTTAGTGTAACTAGTTTAAGAGCTAGCTTGTGTCTTGTCTAGTGGTTAGTGAGGCTCTTTAGTTAGACTTTGAGAGCTCACTAACTTAGTGGTAGTGACTTAGCATCTTATGTGAATTAGAGATCATAGCAACTAGAATTATGGATAGGAGGCTTGCATTTTTAGTAGGCTAGCGTAATACTCGCTTCGCCGTCTTATTATCTAACCACTTGGCTTAAGTGTTGTTGTAGAATTTTTAATAGGCTATTCACCCCCTCTAGCCATTAGGACCTTTCATGTGCCCCATCCGCAGGCCGCTGTCGCGCTGTGCAACGTCATGCCCGTTTCATGCTGCACATGTGGCCTGCGCCGCCCAAGCAACAAGAGGGGAAGGGCGCACGGCGCCTCTGATTCAGAAGGACCCAGTTGCGGCGGCGTTTGGATACCCTGCCGGCTCCGGGAGAGACGATGCAACATAAAGATGGGGGAGGAGAGATGCAACACGTACCCCGATCTACTTTTGAAACCTCCAAAAACAAATGTTGCAATATACGTCTGAAGGCAGTTGAAACACTTGAAACATGCTTCTGAAACACTTGGAAAAAAAACACCTAAAACACACTTGAAAACCATTGCAACCATATGCTATATCCAAATAAAACACATGCAACATATGTGTGAAACATATGCAACATCCAAATAAACACACTTGCAATATGCGTCCGGACAACACAGATGAAACATACCTCTGAAACACTAGAAACATACGCTTACACCATGCCTCTGAAACAATTGCAACATCCCCCGATCTACTTTTGCAACATCCATTTGAAACAAATGCAACATACATTTGAAACGTCTGAAACACTTGAAAGGGGAGGCGGCCATGGCCGCGCGTCGGGTAGCGCGCGGGGCACGAGCCGCGGAAGGGAGGTGGAAGTGAGGGACTGGGTGCGTGAGTGCGGGAGTGAGAGAGTGAGGCGAGTTGTGTTGCGGTGGCCGCACATTGATGTTGGGCCGATCGCCGCACAGGCCCATAACGGCGCGTACGGCGCAGACACGCCCGAACGGGCGCCCTCACAGAAGCATTATCGGTGGACAATTGGCTCACCGAAATCTTGGCGCAGCCGTGACCTTGGTGTGGCATCCCTAGGCATCGTCCAAACAAACCCTCAGTCTCATATAAAAATAAGGAAAAAGCCGACCAACCCTGCTTGCACTATAGCTCCAGCTACAATAATCGCTAGTGTGAATGTATATATGATCGATGGGTGTTCAGTTGAACTGAATGGAATAGAGGATGCAATTTGATTGATTGAGTAAAGACTGAATGAACACAATTGGGTTTGGTCAAAGGAAAAAAAAAAGGAGAGGAGACACAAATGGTTCAATAAGGGAAAAGAGTCTATATGATTAAGTTTAACTCTACCGATGCAAAAAGAACTAATATTTATGATATTAAATAAGTGTCATGCATTTGATTAACCACGAAATATTTTTTCCATATATAGTAGTAAAGCTATTTGGTTGGAGACATAAATATTGATACCGTTCTTTTTTATAAATTCAGAGCTTAAGGAAATTTGATCTGGTCCAAACCTGGATTCATATATAGTGAAACTATTTAATTAAAGATATAAATATTTATACAGTTTTTAATAAATTGGTTTAGTCAAGTTTAAGATTGTCTCCAACATGTTATCTATATGGGCACCCAAACTCAAAATAGGTATTGGATCGTACAGTTTCGATCTTCAACAGAGTACCTATATGCGAGACCTATTTTAGGTTACAGTAGAGTCACAACCCAAATATGAGTATTCTCTCTTCTGGAGACTTATTTGCAGAAAGAGTTCTCTTTTAGATCCTGTTGTTGGAGAAGATAAAAAATAGGTATTAAATCCTTTAGCTACTTAGATGTGAAATAGGTCTTATATTTCGGGTGACGTTGTTAGAAAAAATCCAAGGAAAATTGTCTTAGCCCAAGCCTTGAAGAGTGAGTACATGCTATAACCCTTATTAGGACGGGACCGGACCGGCGGTTCGACCGCTAAAAGACCGAACCAGAGCCTAGACCGGTCCGGTTCACTTAAAAGACCGTCTGTGTAATCGAACCGCTAAAAACCGGTTGAACCGGTCGGTTTTTTACGGAACCGGTGAACCGGCCGGTTCCATACGAACCGGTGAGTTTTTAAGTTTTTCCAAAATTACCCCTATGTGCACTCATGACGACCTTATCTAGTTAGGGGTATTATTGGAAATTGGCTAAAAGCTTTTTCTTGTAGGAATAATTGGCTAAAGCATGACATCCAAACTTCATTTTGTGGTACCCATGTAGGCTGCTTTTTCTTGTAGGAATAATTTGCAGCCCAGGAAGGTACATCTTGAAATTGATTTGGGCAGAGGGCCTCCTGCAGAAAGTAAGAACTAAAAAAACACATTGTGATCTATGCGATTTTGTTTTGTCATATCAATGATAGGTTTATACATGAAAATCAGGTGACAGTGCAGGTCATAGGGGCAGCGAGGGCAGAGTGTCTGATGCTTTGGGAAAGGAAAATAGTAGCGGTCGGGAGAATTCTGGTGTCTTTTGTAGGCAAACTGATATCTCTAGACTTCCATTCACATCTGCAGGAAGTATTGCAGAGGTTGATCCAAAATTACCCCTCTTTTCTCCAGATTTGATTAATTTAGGATTGATTTCTAAGTTTTTCACCACATGGCTAAAGTAGTAACAGATGAGATACATTTCTTATCAGTTATCATACACTTTTGTTTTGAATCTAAAAACTTAGTGCAATTAAATTTGTGTTGTTTATTTATTATTTATCAATTATTAATTATAGCAAATATATATATATATATATATATATATATATATATATATATATATATATATATATATATATATATATACCGGTTCAAAGTAACTATGGCCGATTCAATTTATCCGGTCCAAAATAATTGAACCAATGGTTCAACCAATTCTAATCTATTGGACCAGTGAATCATTGAACCGATGACCTCGCCGGTTCAATCTTCGGTCGGTCCTAATAACTTTGGCTATAACAGGTGAAAGACAGTGACAATGCAACAACTTTCCGCTGTATGTTTTATTTATAGCAGCATAATTGCAGATCACATCACTCAGCCTCAGCTCAGATTAGTCCATTCAATTCCACACAAGGCTGAAGAGCACACAGCCATGGCCATCAGCATCAGCAGCAGCTCGGTGGCCGCAAGCAACAAGCGCCTCCTGCTCGTGGCCGCCGTCGCTCTGGCCCTCTCGGCGTCGCCGTCGGCGGTGTCGGCCCGCCGGTGCCCCGTGCGGCTGCGCCTGTACATGCACGACATCGTGGGCGGGCCGGGGCAGACGGCGGTGCGGCTGGTGAAGGGCCCGGGGCCGGAGAACCCGTCGATGCACCCGGGGAACTACTTCGGCGACACGGTGGCGGTGGACGACCTCCTCACGGAGGGCCTCGCCGTTGACTCCGCGCCCGTCGGCCGCGCGCAGGGGACCTACATGACGGGCTCCATGCGCCACCCGGTGTTCGTGGTCGCCGTCACGCTGCTGCTCACGGCGGGGCCCTACAACGGGAGCACGCTCGTGGTGGCCGGCCGCGACGACACCTCGCTGCCGGTGAGGGAGCTCGCCGTGGTTGGCGGGACGGGGGCGTTGCGACGGGCAGCAGGGCACGTGCTGTGGAGCACGGCCAGGGTGGAGTCCGCGCTGCACGCCGTGCTGCTGCTGGATGTGCACGCGTCCGTGCCGGCGCCGAGCAAGGCTGCCGCTACTGCTGCGGAGTCGCTCGTCAGTTCTGCCTGACCTGACTTTTGTGTGATTTGTGATTCAGATCGAGATCAACGGCGGGTGATCGAATCGACCACTTTGCGATGAAATTAACGAATTTTGTTCCACGAAACTGTGTGCTCAAGTGATTATATTGTTGGTTGTTCTTGTTCCAATGTGCTCTTGTAAACTGTACAAGAAAGGAAAAGTGACCTTTTGAATCGTCCTAAGACTGTCTCCAACGCCGAGAGGCAAACTCAAAATACGTCCCCAACAGTGCTTTGCCTATCCGAAAACATCATCCAACGGCGGACCCAAACTCGTCACCCATTTTGCCTACCGAAGCAATCGATACGCAAAAAAGCATCGCCTCTCTCCTCGCTACGCGATCGTCTCGCCGCGCCGCCGCTGGCCCGAGGTGGCCTGGCCCCCGCACTGCTGGGGAAGAAGAAGGAGAGGGAGATCCGTCGGCGCGAAGTTCCGCCGAAGTCATGGATGCGGACGCGAGCTCCGTCGGGGAAGAAGAAGGAGAGGAGGGGGCCGGATCCGGCGCGCGACGCGAAGCTCCGCTGCAGCCATGGGCGCGAGCTCGAGGCGGGCCATGGGTGAAACTCACGGACGCGAGCTCCGTCGGGGAAGGAGAGGGAGGGGGGCCGGATCCGGGCGCGGGCGCGAGATCCGCCGGCGCGGGCGCGAGCTCGGCCGGGGGAGGAGGCCCCGTCCCCGCGCCGCGCTCCTAGGCGCGAGATCTGCCGGCGTCGGGGACGGCCCGCGCAGCCGCGGGGTTGGACGGGGTGCTCGGGGCGGCGCCTGCGCTGCCGGCGTCGGGAAGGCACGGGTGGTGGCAGCCGTCCTTGCCGGGGTCGTCGTCGGAGGCCAGGAGGCAGTGCAGCTACAGGCTGGAGGTGATGGCGAGCGCCCTGCACTCCAGGTCCTCCTTCCGAGGAGTTCGACCTCTTCGGCTCTGGATCGGGACGTTGAGGATGAGGAAAAGAAGCGTGGGCGTCCGGCGGTGTGTGGGCGTGGATTTGGGTCTGTCTGTTGGAGCGGAGATATTTAAGTCCGTGACTTTTTTTTAGTGTAGATGACCTATAATAGCGAATGGTTATCGTATTTGGGTTCCTTTGTTGGAGTCAGTCTAAGTCAATGGTTCAAACTTCATTTGTTGCATATATACTGGGCAAAATTTGCTAGAAAGTAAGGTCACTTTGCTAGTGGACACGGAAAAAAAAATCGATTTGATGGTAGACACTTTAGTTCATGAAAAATTTGCTAGAAGACATTGAACATATTAAAATATTAATTTCTTGTTTAGGAGGCAGTAGAACAGCTGTGAAATGCCGTATTTGCCCCCGGTTCTTCTTCCTCTCTCCCTTCCGTGGGCGTGCGCATAGAACCCGAGCGAGTCCTTGGCGGCGCTGAGGATGCCGCCGGTCCAGGACATTGACCCCCTCGGAGATCCGATGCGAGCGGCTGAATCGGGCGTTCATCGGCAGGCATCTGGCGACGGCGGCGTCAACGCACTTGGCGGCGGCAGCACTCGAGGCGCACGGGCCGGAAGGTAGTACAAGGTTAGTGATCGAAAGTTTTTTTTATTGGCACACAGTTTCTTTTTTTTAAACTATTGGCACACAGTTTCTAGTTACAAGGCCAATAATTAAATCCAAATCCTTTTTCAGAATTTTTTAATTATATATATTTTTAAAGTAGTATATATACTAGTATGGTACTTACAAGGTTGGTGATGGCCAACTTTTGATTCGTTTTTTTTTTTGAGCAAAGACAATTTTTTATTCGTGGGGTTATCACGTAACACGGCCCAGGGAAAGAAGCAAAACGGGCTGGGTCAGCCCACTACTGTTACCGTCATGACGCATTCCATATTTCCATCCAACTTGGTGGTAGGGCAGCCAGAAAACGCTGCGCCGCCGCCACAACACAGCTACTTCTTTATTGAGATCAGAGATGGCGATGCTCGGGCGGCGGTTCGTCAACATCGTGGCGGCGGGCAAGTACAAGACCGGTATGTTGTCGGTGCACCGCCTCGACGCCTCCAAGCATCTCTTTTACCCGTCAGCATCCGAAGCACGATTTGTCGGCGGTGACGGTGAGGCGCCGCGCCCACGCCCACGCCGACCGACGACAAAGACGCTGGAGGAGCTACCTGCACCGTGCGCCATCTTCAAAGACGCGACGACCGCCGCGGCGCGCACAAGGTCCACCGCCTTCTTGAGCCTCGTCAGCCCGGGCAGCGAGGGCAGCAGGATCCTCTTTACCAACGAGGCCGGCGACTCCATGATGTACTACGCCGACGAGGGTTGTCCGACCGGTCACACTCACGCCATGCCCAGGCTCGAGGAGTTCGCAGGCCCCGTGGCCGCCTCAGTCTCCGTCGTCGCCCAGCAGGCCGGCGGTGGCGGTGCCGCCGTCAAGGAAGAAAGCCTGTACGTCATGCACGGCGTGCGTGACGGGGTGGCACCACGCTTCCACGTCCTCAGGCCGCCGACGGACCGATGGGGCGGGAGCACCCGTGTTGGTGAGGGATGGTACTGGCAGTCTCTTCCACCGCCGCCCTTCGTCTCCGACGACGACGATCCCGACGTCGTCATCAGCTCCTACACGGTGGTGGAAGGCGGCCGCACCATCTGCGTGTCGTCGTACGCGGCCGAGGCCGGCACCTGGTGCTTCGACACGGTCAGAGGCGAGTGGTGGCACGCCGGCGACTGGGAGATGCCGTTCGACGGCAGAGCCGAGTACTTGGCCGACCTCGACCTCTGGCTGGGCCTCTCCTCCTCTGTCGGCCTCGGGAGCACCGGCACCAGCACCTACTACGTATACGGCGAGCTGTGCACGACGTCAGGCCTCTCCCTATCGGCCATGGCCATGAACCAGCCACCGACGTTGCTGCAGCGTCTTTACACGCCGCCTGAGAAGCGGATGATGGCAACAAATGCTAAGCAGGTCGAGCTTATAAACCTGGGCTCAGGCAGGTTCGCCATTGCTAAGGTCTTCAACTGGAATCACGACTACAGTGACTTTGAATTTGGCCTTGATGTTGTGGTTGGGGATAAGTATGACGAGCTTCTTGTCGTGACTGGCGTGGAGATCCGTCCTTGTCAACCTCGCGATAGCTGTTATATATGGAGCTGCAGTGATGGCCTCGAGTTGATCCCTCACAAATCCGTTAGTTACATGTGTCGCACCCATAGGATACACCAGGTGCTATAAACATGGTCCCTTACAAATCCCTGCGTCGAGTGCTACAAGCGTGGCTTTCCGATTAATTCGTCTTTGTTTCTTTTTCACATGAAATTGAGTTTTAAGTTGGCCACAAATGATTTCTAATAGTAAAGATATTTGTTTTTAATAATTGATCTGATTCGTATACTTGCAACTGTAAGGGATGAAGCCGAATTTGTTTTCTGACCTTTTTTATGTCACATCTCCTATGCTACGTGCACCTGAACGCTACATGCACCTGAAATTGAGATGCGTTGTCCTTAGGGATGAAAACGGATCGGATACGAACGGATATCACTCATATTATATTTGTTTTCATATTTCTGTTCGGATTCGGATTCGGACACGGATAGCGTTCGGATACATATACGAATACGGATTGACTCGGTTACGGATACGAATAATGAGTATCGAATACGGTATGAATCGGATTCGGAGAAGGTCGGATACAAATATCTATTCGGATATTGAGTAAAAGCAAGCATATATATATATATATCATACGCATGCAAAACCATTACACCACTCTATGAGTCCATAATCCATCTAGATTAAGCCGAAAGACTAAAGAGTAAAGCAACAAATAAGATAAAGATACGGATACATCATACATCAAACATCATATAAGCACCAATCTTCGCATGATGAGTAGAAATAGCCAAGCACATTGCTTCATGGGTCTCATGGAGTCATGGTCATGGATTCAAGATCTACAATCCTTATATAGGCCATTTTTCATTTTGAGAAAGTTTGAACAAAATGTAGTTCAAATTTCACAAGTGTGTGACATAGTTTTAGAAAGTCTCAGATGAGATTTAAGAATTTGTGACTAGTGTTTGATAAAACTTTCTCAAATGGGAAAATGAGCTATGTAACAATTGTATATCTTGCTGAGATGATCAAACTTGGTATTCAGAGTTTTTTCATCTGAGGTCATTTAGTGTCTCATTTGAGCAAGTTTGACCAAGTCAAATTTGGTCAAATGAAAAAACAACACTTTGACTCTAGTATTATGAACTCTAAATGACTTCAAATTGAAAAGTTTTGAATACCAAGTTTGTTCAACTCATCAAGATCTACAATTCTTGTTTTGGTCAACTTTCCATTTGAGATAGTTTGGACGGTTCAAATTTGTGATTTTTAAATTTCGATGCTTACAAACTAGTTTTCGAAACCCTAGATTGTCTCAAATTGAAAAGTTTTGAATACCAAGTTTGTTCAGCTCATCAAGATCTACAATCCTTATATAGGCTATTTTTTCATTTGAGAAAGTTTGAATAAAATGTAGTTCAAATTTCACAAGTGTGTGACATAGTTTCAGAAAATCTATATGAGATTCAAGAATTTGTGACTAGTGTTTGATAAAACTTTCTCAAATGGGAAAATGAGCTATGTAACAATTGTATATCTTGCTGAGATGATCAAACTTGGTATTCAGAGTTTTTTCATCTGAGGTCATTTAGTGTCTCATTTGAGCAAGTTTGACCAAGTCAAATTTGGTCAAATGAAAAAACAACACTTTGACTCTAGTATTATGAACTCTAAATGACTTTAAATTGAAAAGTTTTGAATACCAAGTTTGTTCAACTCATCAAGATCTACAATTTTTGTTTTGGTCAACTTTCCATTTGAGATAGTTTAGACGGTTCAAATTTGTGATTTTTAAATTTCGACGTTTACAAACTAGTTTTCGGAACCCTAGATTGTCTCAAATTGAAAAGTTTTGAATACCAAATTTGTTCATCTCATCAAGATATACATTCCTTATATAGGCCATTTTTTCATTTGAGAAAGTTTGAACAAAATATAGTTCAAATTTCACAAGTGTGTGACATAGTTTCAGAAAGTCTATATGAGATTCAAGAATTTATGACTAGTGTTTGATAAAACTTTCTCAAATGGAAAAATGAGCTATGTAACAATTGTAGATCTTGCTGAGATGATCAAACTTGGTATTCAGAGTTTTTTCATCTGAGGTCATTTAGTGTCTCATTTGAGCAAGTTTGACCAAGTCAAATTTGGTCAAATGAAAAAACAACACTTTGACTCTAGTATTATGAACTCTAAATAACTTCAAATTGAAAAGTTTTGAATACCAAGTTTGTTCAACTCATCAAGATCTACAATTGTTGTTTTGGTCAACTTTCCATTTGAGATAGTTTGGATGGTTCAAATTTATGATTTTTAAATTTTGAATAAATATCCGGATAATATCCGTTTTTAAATATCCGGATATATCCGATACTTATCCGGATTATCCGATATCTGCCGGATATCGATGATATTACATCCGTATTTGATATCCGCCTAAGATATCCGTTTTAGTATCCGTATCCGAAAAAAAAACGGATATCCGAGTAACTATCCAGATAAGTGTTCATATTTGTTCGGTCGAACGGACGGTCGAATAAATATCCGTACCGTTTTCATCCATAGTTGTCCTCCTTGCCAACGAAGCATTCAAGTTCAGGCTGCCTGTGCTCTGTGGGCTTACAAATTAAAAGATCTTGCGCGAGGCAAATCGGTCCAAACTTTTTAGAGGCGTGCCTTAAAATAAATTCGGGACGGTTTGCCTGAACTTCTCAAATTTATTTTCTAGAGGGGTGACGTTTTCGTTCACTTGTAGAAATGACTTTGTTCATGGAGCCTACAGGTCCATTAGCTAGTTCTTCGTAATAGAATGATCAATCCTGTTCCTACAATGGAAGAGGGAGAGAGTTGATGGTAGGAGAGCGCTAGCTCGTAGTGATCCAGAGTTTTTGTAGGATTCATTCCCCTCTAAGGGAACCTCTGCCTTGCCTTATATGTCGGAGGGCGAGAAAAGTACAAGGAAAGTGGGTTATTTGGAAGCTCCCTTGGCAGGAAAGGGAGCGCTAGGATTTCATGTCCAAATCTTAGAGTCGTTGTTGCGTCAGGCGTCATCCTCTCCTAGTGGTCATGGCCGACATCGCCTACTACCTCTGACACCACCTAACAGGAGCCTTGGGATGATCTCCAGGGACCTGAGTTGTCGTTGTGACTCACCTAAGCTTGCACTCCCCGTGGTGTCCATCGTACGCTAAAGGGAGCAAGCGGATGCTAGGGAGAAACTAGCGGGCCACACTCCCTCCTCTTTCCTCATGCAGAGGTTGCGGGCTCGCCCTTGTCGTGTTGTGTCATGCCCTGGGCATGACCCTAAGCTAGGAGTGGCCGACACAGCTGTAAGGGACCGTGACGCCTAAGAGGGGGGTGATTTAGGCAACTTAAAATTATACTTCTAACTAAGGCCTCTTTTTTTATTCTTAGCAAAAACATATGCAAAAGATAAACTATCTAAATGTGCAATTACGGTTTAGCTAGTGTGTTGCTATCTCTACCGCAAAAAAGAGTTATGCAACCTAGGTTTCAAACCTATCAACTAGCCTATCACTAAGCTAGGAAAGTAAAGAACAAACCAAGAATGCAATGTAAATGCGGAAGCTAAAGAGTAAGGTAGAGATATGTAAACTTCCGTCGACGACTCCGGTATTTTTACCGAGGTATTGAGAAGCGCGCAAGCTTCCTCCTAGTCCTCGTTGGAGCCCTCGTAAGGAATCCCTCGCAAGGGCCAAGCTCCCGGTCGGGTAACTCCGTGGATAGCCCCGGACCTTCCCCCACACGCAAGTGGGTCTCCGGTGTTCCTTCCAGCAAGCCTCTCCCAGACCGCTCTCCGCCGTCTTCACTATCAAGCTTTCGACCGAATCGCCGCGGACCTTGTTCCCTTCAGTACACGGTGGCGACCACACCACAAACACGGTTGGTGTGATCTCACAAGACTACAAACCCCTTTGATGTACAATAATGGTGTGCGCAAGCACCGAGTGGTAAGAGGTGTGTAAACCTCACTAAACACTTGGCCTAAACCTAGAGCAAGCGCATAAGCGGTGGTCTAACTAACCTAAGCACTTCGCAAAGCACCTACGCTAATCACCGAATGTATCACTAAGCACTATGCAAGTGGAGATCACTAAAATAGTGTATCAACACCCTTGGTATGTTTCCTCAGCTCTCCACTACCCAAATACCCGGTTGGGGGGTCTATTTATAAGTCACATGGAGAAAGTAGCCGTTGGGGACGAAACCTAGCTTTCTGTCATTGACCGAACGCGCAGGTCATCCTGATCGAACGCGTCCGGTAGTCCTGACCGTTGAAGTCGACCGTTGGCGCTCACTATTGATCGAACTCTCTGGCGAGTCCGGTCGCTTACCATCTGACTCGTCCGGTCGATGTTTCGCCGTTCTAGAACCTCTCTAGACTCGATCGGACGCCACTGCCTGGCGCGTCCGATCGTCCATAGCTACTGCGTCCGGTCCTCACTAAGCTGGTGCCGCGGCGATGGACAGTGAAGTCCATGCGTCCGGTCACTGTCTCGCTCAGAGTCCAGTCACCGCTGCTTTCGCCTGCTATTGCTAAGCAACTGATCGGACATGTCCGATCCTCATAGGGACGCGTTCGGTCACCTCTGCCGAGCTCGTTTCTTCGCGATCTTGCGTCCGGCTTGGTTTTCATCTTCATGCTTGGACTTTGCTTGATATCTTGGGTCTTCTCTTGTGCTTCTAGGGTCTTGCTTATGGTGTTTATCATGGGGTCATCATGTCGCCTTCGTCCAAGTCACGTCTTGCATCCTATTGAACTACAAAACAATTACTTATAAATTTATTAGTCCAATTTGGTTGTGTTGGTCATCAAACACCAAAATCCAAAGTAAATGGGCCTAGCCTCCATTTTCCTTACAACAGCCTCACGAGGGCGAGGAGATAGAGCTCCGGCATGGCCTAGAGCCCTGTGGCTCTACTCGCGTGTCACGATGTGGTAGAACCGTCCGAAATAGAATGCTTCCAGAGGCGCTCGTCTGCCACCAAACACTAAGCGCCCCGAAAGGAAGCTACATCGGACGGTTCCGTCAAGCACACCCCAAGGGAGAACTCGAATAATCCATGTTTTTCCTCTAGGATCCAATAATGAGAAC